TATAGTTGGTATGGTTTGATCAGTGATAGGTAGGTACAGTCATGAGTATATAGAGTAGATATATCACAAGTGTGGATAAATTATACCAACAGCTGGTATCTTATAGTTGATATGGTTTGATCAGTGATAGGTAGGTACAGTCATGAGTATATAGAGTAGATATATCACAAGTGTGGATAGATTGTAGAGACAGCTAATATCATATAGTTGGCATGGTTTGATCAGTGATAGGTAGGTACAGTCATGAGTATATAGAGTAGATATATCACAAGTGTGGATGGATTGTACAGACAGCTGGTACTATATAGTTGGTATGGTGTGATCAGTACTAGGTAGGTACAGTCATGAGTGTATAGAGTAGATATATCACAAATGTAGATATATTGTACCAACAGGTGGTATCATGTAGTTGGTATGGTTTGATCAGTGATAGGTAGGTACAGTCATGAGTATATAGAGTAGATATATCACAAGTGTGGATAGATTATACCAACAGATGGTATCTTATAGTTGGTATGGTATGATCAGTTATAGGTAGGTACAGTCATGAGTATATAGAGTAGATATATCACAAGTGTGGATAGATTGTACCAACTGCTGGTATCATATAGTTGGTATGGTGTGATCAGTGACATTAAACCTTATGAGATATTAGTACATGGTTTAAGTTTTTTTTTTAGCTCCGCTGTCGACGAGCTTATAGTATTACTGATTGTCCGTCTGCGTCCGTCGTCGCCGTCGTCAACTTTACATTTTCGACTTCTTCTTAAAAACCACAAACTGTATAGCTGTGAAACTAGGAAGGTACCTTGGGTGGTTCTCTCTCAGATTTGTTCATTTTGTGTGAATATGTTCAATTGTCTTATTTATAGCAAATATTTTTGTCATTTTTGGTCAAAAATGCTATTTTCGACTTCTTCTTGAAAACAACTAGTCCAATTGCTTTGATATTACATATGTAGGTACCTTGGGTGGACCTCTCTCAGATTTGTTCATTTTGTGATGATATCTTTAATTCTCTGATTTTGGTGAATATTTTTGTCATTTTTGGTAAAAAGTGATATTAAAAAGTGGTTAAAAACCGCAAGTCTAATTGCTTTGATATTATATATACTACATAGGTACTACAGGTAGACCTCTCTCAGATTTGTTCATTTCGTGATGATTTTGTTCTTCAATTATCTAATTTTAATGAATATTTTTGATAAAAAGTTATAAAAAGTCTGAATGCTTTAATACTATTCATATTGTTCATTTTCTAATGATATCTTCTGTTCTTTAATTGCAATGTGCATTGCTAACAGTGGAGGTATCTCAGCCGACAGGCTGCTTGTTTTAAAGTCAAATTATAAATCAAAATAGAATCAGCTATACATCATACTATCCATACATGGCCAATATACAGAGAATATGTCAATAATGAAGTGTAGTGTACATGGTTTAGTGAATCATCATGATGAGTTGATGGTTTTGTCATTGGCACCTTGATATCCTAATATCTAGATATCCTAATATCTATGAATGTTTGTAATAATTGCAGATGCAGAAACACCTAACCAGCCCACTAAACGTGCAAGACTCTCAGATACTGAAAACGGTGAGTATAGTACATAATTCAGTGAATGATTGATAGTTTTGTTTCACCTCCATAATATCTAAAAATCTTTGTTTATTGTTTGTAATAATTGCAGGTGCAGAATCCCCAATCCATCCTGCTAAACGTGCAAGACTCCGAGATACTGAAAACGGTGAGTATAGTACATAATTCAGTGAACGAATGATGGTTTTGTTGATGTCATTTGCACCTCCTTATCTTAATATCTAAAATTGTGTTTATTGTTTGTAATAATTGCAGGTGCAGAAACACCTAACCAGCCCGCTAAACGTGCAAGACTCCCAGATACTGAAAACGGTGAGTATAGTACATAATTCAGTGAATGATTGATGGTTTTGCTGATGTTTTTCACAAACACAATACTATTCGAGTGGTTTTGTTTTTGTTTGAACTAATGTATGCATTTGTGGTTTGATCAATGCTGGCTAGGTGCATGCAGTCTTCAGTATAGTGTAGATATGGATGGATTGTGCTGATAGCATGTTGTTGGTGTGTGATCAGTACTATGTATGTAAAGTCTATACTTACAGCTAGTAGCATAGTGTATAGTGAGTTCAGTGTTTGCTGTGTACTTATTTAGTATAGTGTAAATATATCACTAGTGTGGATGGCTTGTACTG